AAACAGTCCTGTGCAGTTTCTGACAGCTGAGAAAGGTGGCGCTGTGATTACAGCGCTCCGATCTCACTGATCACATACAGCAGAATGAACGATTTTTGCTTAGCTCCCTGCTCTCCATCCTGAGCTCATTTGCCGTGTTCCTGCATCCCCCTTAATAGTGGGGGACCCTGAAAACCACGCGGTAAGGGAGGGGATAGACAATCAGGCTGGTACAAGTGATCTTATGAGATCACTTGTATAAAACGTGCAGCGGCACCCCACTGTAAATTTAGCCCTGCTTGCCTGAAGCAGGGCTAAATGTAGAACAAAAACTACCCTCCCGGAACGACATGTGTCGGTCGGTAGGAATTCTGCGCACCTGGTTCTGCTTTATTGGTTTAAAATGGTTGCTTGCCTGTATTGATTTGAGGGTTTTTTTCCTTACTAAGGTGCTATTGTTTATACAGTAAAACTATTTGCCCACTGAAAATCAAAACAAGATTCTCTTGGTGTATATTGGTGCAAATTGACATGTTGGGACAGCTTTCATAATGCCCTGAGTAATGAAAGATAAACTCTACACTCCTGTGTTGTGAGAGGCATAAAGTTGGGCATACTGAGGCACCACCTGGGACTTTGGCTGGGGCTGCTGTTATATAAGCTCTTAGAAATGAACTTTCACATGTTAAACCCAATAATAAATGTTAAAAGAAAAATTAATTATTTGCACAGCTTAAACTTTTTTTTTTTGCATGTTGATACAAGCATTAGGTTTATGGTGGGAGTTGAAGCCTGCTTCTGCGTGTTCCCAGATACAAATTCATAATTACACATAAGACGGTTTAATACAATAACAAGGTCTTCAACATTACCAAGAAGCTTGATTGGGAACCTGAACTCAATTTGTTTTAATAATAAAACCCTGAGCTCAGTTTATGAGAATAGATATGTAAAATGATTTGTCTTGCTTCAGTAGTGATGTTGGATCCCTGCTTTACCTGTACTTGGGGAAAATGGTAAGATTTTGGATTTACTATCCGTTTGAGATATATTTGGCACAAAATAGGTGCCTTCTTACAACATGCACCGGCATTAGCCGTGATGACGTCACGAATCCTTAGGCCACCGAAGCCTGGGGGAGAAGAGGCTGCCGGTCGAGTAGCCAGGCGGTATCAGAGATGAGTTGAGTAGATCATCTTTATTTGAGCCCCTAGACCAAAATGAGCAGTTACCTTTTGCAGTGCAGTGGTAGCCCCACTGCAAGAGTTAATTTTTAGTTTAATTTCCACTTTAAAGAGGAACTCCAGGAAGTACCCAGACGCCACCAGACAGAAGATGTGGGGATGGCTTGTAATGTGCTTAGTTGATGGAGCCTTCATTTGGCCCCCACTTTGGCACTTGTGCAGTTTGTGGGTTAGCAGCAGGGGGTGCGCTACAGGTCCACGGCTGTCGACCATCTAGGTGATGCCTTGACCCTGCTGGGGGGTCTGCCCATCCAGAGGGTGAATCTCAGATAACATGTCTCCCTTACTGCTGCCACATCCATTGGGGGAGGACAACAAGCCACTCAGGTGAGCCATGGCCATGCCCCCAGGTGCCCAGACAGTGGCCCCAGTCCCCTAAAGTGGTATATTTGCGGGTTTGCTGTGACACTTTGCACTTTTAGTGCGGTTAGCTTAACATTTTAAATTTGGTGTGAGTGTTTTCTTTTCCCAGACTGTGGACTGCATCTCTGCAGCCTTCCTCCCAGGCACCTGCTTTACCCATCATTTTTCTCTCTCTCCCTGGTGTGAACTCTAACTGAACACATGCTGCACAGACACAATAAGGAGGAAGCTGCTTTGCTGCAGTGCCTGCGTTGCCTTCTGCCTGGAGTTTTAGGCACTGTGCACCCTCTGCACACACAAGTTGTGGTTTTTGTGGGGGGGTTTATATGCAAACTCAGATGTGAGAATGCCTGAGTGGGAGGGACATGAGCCACACTACCTGATATCTGTTCTGGTGGAAATTCTACCTACTCTGGGAACACTATATTGGTTAGTCCCATGCTTGGCCCCTATCCCCTTCCCTTCTTGCTTTGGGGGCCCCTCCGCTTAACTCTTTAGAATACCCTATTCTGACTTGCTGTCTAGAGAGGAGTTTACTGCTGTTAGATTTGATTTTATAGGTAAAATGGCCAGCCTCTTTCAGACATCACATTGCATGGGGTTGCAAACTGCTCCCTCAGTGACTCCATGTGACATGCCTCTGTCTGCCTTTGCACTACCTGAGCATCAGGAAGAGGAAGGGTCTCCCTTCAGCTGTGAGGAATCTACCCGTGGAAAGGACCTGTGTAATGACATTTTCTCTAAGCTCAGGGACACTTTCTGTCCTTGTTGACGCAGTTTGTGTGTGCTTGCATTTAGAGGCACCTTCCAAAGGTTACTGTTCCTTTCCCTGTACATTTGCTATTACAGCCTGTGTTGTATGGTGTCTAGGATTACACTAACAAATGTACTACCTCCAAAACGGTTTGCTCAGCAATATTCTATTGAGGATGGCTTCCTTAAAGGAGAACTATGAGGTGAGTGCTTTTCACTCACCTCATAGTTCTAGCCGACCTGTGACAAATGAGACTGTCACAGGTCGGCTCAGTAGATCGGGAGGTGAGCGAACACATACCGGCGTTCGCTCACCTCTCGATCCTGTCACGGCTCTCTGCCGTGACGGGAGGGGCTGGATTCCCCGCTCCGATCCACCAGCGCTGACTGGCGGAACGGACAGGGGAGGGGGTGGGTACAGCTGGCTCTGCCTTCACATAGACAGAGCCAGCTGTCACTCACGCAGCTGGGCGGATCTCGACATCTATGTCGGGAGCCGCTGCGGCGTCTCAGTATACCGTGAGCTACAGCTTATACTGAGCTTAGGGTGACGGGAGGACGCTAGTTTGTGTCCCCCCGTTACCCTATGGAGAACTATGGGGAAAAGCCCTGACCCCATAGTTCTCATTTAGGAAATGGGCTGTACCTTTCCTGGGCCCTGCTGCCTCTTGTTTAAAGAAGACATTAACATTCTGAATGCCTGAAGAAGGAACTGCTGTTCCGAAACATCGCTATATGATGTGATGGCAATTGAGTCAATAAACCGCTTTTGACTTGAAAATTCTATTGGAGTGCGAGTGACTTTATACATACACTTATCTTGGATTGCAGAGGCATCTGCAATCACTTTGGCACCCACCCGACTCTAAGGGGTAGTATTCAGTCAAGAGTGCGATGGGTACACTGGATTTTGGCCAATGCAAGGGGGCACTCCGATGGGGAGGGCCAATGCATGGGGGGGCACTCCTATGAGGACGGCCAATGCATGGGGGGCAATTTGTTTAATAAAAACCATGTCAAGTAAAAACAAGTGCTTTTGTGGCCACGCAGGGTCTCGTCATCAGGCTAAACATTGATCAATGTTTAGCCTAATGACGGGACTCTGTGTGGCCCAAAAAGTGCATTTTTTTAAACTTGACATAGTTCTTGTTATATGAACACATGGTTATCCTGAACGGGTTTTTGGTGTGCTGGTGACATCTCTTCAAATTATCTTTATAGTCCAGCCTGTTTGACAACCATGGCTTCCTTGATTGATACAATGAGGAGAAGGTAAAATGGGGAAATGTAAATATGCATCCTTGATGTCTATCGATGCCAAGAACTCCACTTGTTACAGTGGTGCAATGACGGAGCGGGCTGATCCCATGTGGAATTTTTGGACCCGCAAAAAGTTGAGAACCTTCAGATCCAGGATGGGGCGAACACCCCTATTGGGTTGTGAAACCGTAAACAGGTTGAAGTATGTAGGGGCACTATAATAGGACAGTAAGAAGAAAAAAACGGCAGGTTACTGATAAACTCTGTGCTCAATTCCAATCAACAAGCCAAGTTTGTTAGATTCACAGATTTTGGTTATTCCCTGATTGGCTTGTAACACTATCCCTCCTTTTCCCGCTGTGAATGCTGATGTAAAAGAGCTAACATAGGGTTAGTAAAAAGGTTGTATTATAAATACACTTCAATATTTTAAATGCTTAAGTAGGTTACACTGGGGTATTTTATATGTGCAAACTGTTAAACCTAAAAGCAAAAGCTTCCATACACAGATGATATATCATTTTAGTTATTTTAAATCTCCATCTTGACAGGATGAACAATATTTCAAATTATTACACCTGATGTGTTGCCATTTTAGCATATGTAATCAGTCAGAGGAGGGGCCGTTTGTTGTCCTACAGGAGTATTACTCAAGAGGAAGTCGTTAATGTGTAGAAAAATTATCTTGTCGCAGCTTCAGTTTAAGTTCTTGCAACATTTATTCTTATAAATGTTAAAAGTAGTGGTTTTATGCTCATGTGTATTTTTTTTTCTTCTTTGAACAACATGACTTTGGTGTTTGGAGGTAGCCATGCTGTTGTATGTGTCTTACTATGACTCTCACTGAAAAATACTAACAGGGTTATTCAGAAAAGGGTGAAGAGTTTGGAGAAGGCAGGAAAATTGTGAAAAGAGGGGCTGGATTCCCCCTCCCCGCTCCGATCCACCAGCGCTGACTGGCGGAACGGATGGGGGAGGGGGCGGGTACAGCTGGCTCTGCCTCTAGATAGGCAGAGCCAGCTGTCAGTTACGCAGCTGGGCGGATCCCGGCACAATTCTCGGGGTCCGCCTCAGCTGCGGCGTCTCAGTATAGCGTGAGCTACAGCTCTCAAACTAGCGTCCTCCCGTTACCCTAAGGAGAACTATGGGGAAAAGCCTGAACCCCATAGTTCTCCTTTAAATTACCCACTGTTGATCCAGAGGAAGGCAAAAAAACCCTATTCAGCATGGTCTGAGCAAATTGAACCATGTTGTATAAGGTTTTTTTTTTTTTACCTTCCTCTGGATCAACAGTGGGTAATTGTGGACATAACATTCTGTTTTAGGCTTTTCTACCTTATTTTTTTTTTTTCTTCTTTTGTTTCTCATCTTTCTTAATTTCTATGTATTCTTACTTTGCAGTGAGACATGTTTTGGAAGTTTGACTTGCATACAAGTTCACATGTGGACACACTTCTAGAAAGGGAAAATGTTACCCTTTTCGAACTACTTGATGAAGAGGACGTGTTGCAGGAGTGCAAAGTGGTCAATCGCAAGCTTGTGCAATTCCTTGTCCAGCCTCAGCACATGGAGGAACTAGTGACCTGCATCACACAGGAGCCCTCCGGTGATATGGATGAAAAACTGCGATATAAGTAAGCATGATTTGAATTAGACTTTCAAAGTCATTACCTTCCTAACTCTAAAACGTGACTTTTTACGTAGATATTGTAAGCCCCAGCTTTGACGCAATGATTGTTGTTAAATAAAGCTTTCATTTAGCCTGGTTGAGCTCAAAGCTGGTAACGGACCCACACAAACTTTCATGTTACAGAGTTGACAGGATTTTGTGAACAAAAGCTTAAAGGGCATCTGCACCTTTTTTTATAGAAATATTATAATGAGCATAGCACACTTGTGAAATCGGCAGCATAAATTATATTAATTTTCCCCTACATAAAGATACTGTACAGTAGGTTCACTGTGAAATACATTATTATTGTCTGTATCTGAAACCCTCCAACTGTCAATCTTTAGTGTGCCCCCCACTGTTTCTATGCTTGGTTTTCTCTTCCACTGTTCTCATATGATGGCAGATTGCAAACATTTTTTGCAATTACCATTTTAACTTTGTCCCCTAGGTTATGGTGGTGTGCTAATACTATGTATGAGGAGATATAGCGAACGGTTAGGACCTGTATGTTTGTGGTATCTGGTTGTGTAAAGATACAGTCTTGCCTCTACTTGCACAGTGCTATAAACCTTTTGAGTACCTTTTTTGTTTGTGTATTGATCATTTTCTTGTTTTTACATAGTTTAGGGAGTGCTTGATCTTTACCTAAGGCATGGCAGATAGCAATGGACACATGCATCGACTAAGAACCTTTAGTGGGCACAATGTACTTGGGAACCCTTCTTTTTGTGCACATGGCTAAATATGGTTTCTTGTTATTTCTTTTGCTTTCTACTCGTGTGTGCCAGCTTTGTACACTAATCTGCAGTGGTTATCTAGGAAAAAAAGAATACAGCAGACCACCTGAGCCTCTCCTTACAGAGCAATGCACCCTCTTTCAAGCCAGATACCTTCCTGGTACATTGTATTCCCCAGTCAAAAAGTGTTATTAAGCCAAAAGATTTTTAAGCCATTTAAAATTCTAGTTAAATCACTTGTAATGGTTTCTGCTCCTTGATTATTAATAATTTGTTTCCTGTACAAACATCTGGTACAGATCCTGTTTTTTTTTGGGTGGCTCCTTTTTTTCTTTGCAGGGTCTAAGGGCTCAGTCACACTAGATGCAGTGCGTTCCGGCCCGATTTTGGCCGGAGCGCACTGCCTCGCACTGCGGCCGGCTCACGTTTTAAGTGGGGCAAGAGGGGCGTGACGGGCCATTCAAGTGAATGGCGCCGTAGCCACGCCCTCTGGCCGCAATGCCGTCCGCCGCACGGGATCGCAAAGCACATTGTGCCTGCGGTCCGGTCTTGTGTGGTGCGATCAAAATGGTGCTTGTAGCATTTTGATCGCACCACACAGGATCGGACCGCAGGCACAATGTGCCTTGCGATGCCGTGCGGCTGATCGCATTGTGGCCGGAGGGTGTGGCTACGGCGCCATTCACTTGAATGGCCTGTCACGCCCCCTCCTGCCCCACTTAAAAGGGAGCCGGCCGCAATGCGAGGCAGTGCGCTCCGGCCAAAATCGTGCCGGAAGGCACTGCACCTAGTGTGACTGAGCCCTTAAGGAGCCAACCTTGTATGTAAGGCCTTGTTCACACCAAGCGCGGAGCAGGTGCAGAGCAGTTGCAGACCGCATCAAAACTGCGTCCAATGTATTCCAATGGTAAATTTTGCTCCAGTTCACATCACAGCGTGCAGGTGCAGAGCAGGTGAAAAAACAGCAGCAACCCCTATTTTACCTGCTCTGGAACGCATGCAAACGCCTGGAACGCACTGAAAGCCCATCTAAGCCCTGCCACAAAAGGACAAGCTGACATGTTAGTGATTCTTTCGTTAACACAGGTGTCAGTGATGACAAGGCTGGAGACCACTCGGTCACGCTGATTAAGTTAAGGTGCCCATACACCTTACGACCATACACTTTTTTGTCTTGCGATGGTCGTATGCTTCTTGAAAGCCCGTACGATCTGCCCACCTTGGATGGGCAGATCGTACTTGCGATCATCGAAAGCCCGCCCCGCTGAGGGGCGGGCTTCCGATGGCGGCAATGCAGAACGGGCAGTGTGCGCGTGCGCACACCGGCCCGTTCCGCAGCTATCGGGCGAGCAGGCTAGAAACCCGCCGAGAATCGTACGATTCTCGGCGGGTTTTCGAGCATGTTGGCTCGACAAAAGACGTGCGACCGTACAGTAGAAACGGTCGCACGTCTTAGTTCACACTGCTCGATTCTCGTACGATCGCGGGATTTCGCCCGATTCTCGTACGAGAATCGAGCAGTGTATGGGCACCTTTAGAATAACAGACTGGAAGCTTTAAAAGAAGGGTCGTGCTTGAAATAATTTTGTTCTTCCTCTGTTAACCAATCAACCAGTTATCGGATCATCAAGAACTTCGAGGAGAGGTTCAATTGTTGTGAAGAAGGCTTCAGGGTGCCCAAGAAAGTCCAGCAAGCGCCAGGACCGTCTCCTAAAGTTCAGCTGTGGGATCTGGGCACCACTAGTGCAGAGCTTGCTCAGGATTGGCAGGAGGCAGGTGTGAGTGCATCTGCAGGCACAGTGAGGCGAAGACTATTGGAGGATGGCCTGGTGTCAAGAAGGGCAGCAAAAAGCAACTTCTCACCAGGAAAAACATGGTCAGACAGATATTCTGCAAGAGGTACAGGGGTTGGACTGCTGAGGACTGGGGTAGTCATTTTCTCTGAAGTCCCTTTCCGATTGTTAGGGGCATCCGGAGAAGAAAAGGTGAGCGCTACCATCAGTCCTGCGTCATGCCAACAGTAAAGCATCCTGATGTGTGGGACTGCTTCCCAGCCAAGGGCCAATTTTGCCTAAGAACACAATGAATAAAGAATGGTACAAAAACCTCCTCCAAGAGCAACTTATTCCAACCATTCAAGACCAGTTTGGTGACAAACAATGCCTTTTCCAGCATGATGGAGCACCTTGCCATAAGGCAAAAGTGATAACTAAGTGGCTTGTGTAACAAAACAAACATTTTGGGTCCATGGCTAGGAAACTCCCCAGACCTTAATCCCATTGAGAACTTGTGATCAATCCTCAAGAGGCGGGTGAACAAAAACCCCCCCACAAATTCTGACTAAACCCAAGCATTGATTATGCAAGAATGGGCTGCCATCAGTCAGCATGTGGCAGAAGTTGACTGACGGCATACCAGGGCAAATTGCAGAGGTCTTGCATAAGAAGGGTCAACACTGCAAATATTGACCCTTTGCATAAACTTAATGTAATTGTCAATAAAAGCCTTTGACACTTATGAAATGCTTGTAATTATACTTCAGTATATTATAGTAACATTCGACAAGAAGATCTTAAAACACTGAAGCAGCAGACTTTGTGAAAATTAATATTTGTGTCAATCTCAAAACTTTTGGCCAGGACTGTAGATTGACAGCTGCTGGAGACAGTGATCTCCCTTATCTCATACTGGACAGGAGGTTCAGGCAAGCAGAGCTGGGACAGTTGTAGCTAGCTGTTTGGTAGCATGATGACTAAGTGCTTGGGCAAAATGTATATTTTACCTTTGTATATTTGTTGTGGATTCTTATTGAAAAAAATGACAGTTTAGTACTATAAGTCTGTCTTAACTAATAGTTAATTCCTAGTCCCCGCTTGTCACCAGGATAGGATGGCTCTGCTCGTTTATAGTTACTTAAAGGAGAAATATGAGTTGAGTGCTTTTCACTCACCTCATAGTTCTAGCCGACCTGTGACAATGAGACTGTCACTGGTCGGCTCAGTAGATCGTGAGCCGATCTGCCAGCGCTGACTGGCGGAACGGACGCTGGAGGGGGCGGGTACAGCTGGCTCTGCCTCTAGATAGGCAGAGCCAGCTTTCACTCACGCAGCTGGGCGGATCCCGTCATCTACGTCGGGATCCGCTCCGGCAGCGGCGTCTCAGTATACCGCGAGCTGTAGCTCGCGGTATACTGAGCTTAGGTTAACGGGAGGACGCTAGTTTGTGTCCTCCCGTTACCCTAAGGAGAACTATGGGGAAAAACACTGACCCCATAGTTCTCCTTTAAGGGATGCCTAAGTTTAGAGGCATCCATTAATGAAAGGGTTAACCTTTTTCTGACACCCGATACCTGAAGATCGGGTGTCTGAGAGTCACAGCAGAGCCGCCGGCATTCTGACAGCTCATATAGATCTATACTGGCTTTTTTTTTTTCTTTCACTTTCAGGAATAGATACATAATGTATCCCTGAAAGCAGAATGTTTCAGTTTGCTGATCGTTGTTGCAACAATCAGAAAACCTTCAGTGACAGCTGAATCCTGCAACTTCTGCAGGATCAGTGTCACTAACTTATCGGCTGTTCTGAAGTTTGAAGCAGCCTGATAATAACCAAAAATTTATTTATCAAGCAGTAATAGTGAGATTAATTCACAATGACTGCTTGATATAATTAAATAAATAAATAAAATGACATTTTTAAGAAAGTGACAAATGTATTTATTGCATTTTTTTTTAGCTGTGGTTTTGTAAAAAAAAATACTATCAAAACTGGGAAAGTGTTTTTTGTTTTTGTTTTTTTAAATATTTTATTTGTCGTAAGTGAGGCGTTAGACACACATATGTGATAGGGCTATATATTTATATCACATATATCTGTCCTCTAAAAAACAATATATATGTGTGGGTGCACTTTGTAAGAAAGTATATTACTGACGTGGAAGAATCACACAGCAAAAATGTCAAAAGTGTGTCAGTCATTTACGAACAGAAACTGAAAACAAGCTCAGTCATGAAGGGGTTAAATGGGTAAGAGATGTAGTCTTTATTGAATACTAACTTAAATTTTGTCAGCCTTCCTCAAGGCCGCCTTTGTTTTTCTAATTTCCCTTGTGCCTGTAATGTGACCTTCGGGCACTGGGCTTTGCTTGTGGCACTCCCAGACAACTAGTGTACTGGTTTGTTAGCTGCCGAGTGCTTTACAGGTCCAGAGCTGTGTCCAGCCTCTGGTGTAATACAGTCTCTGAAGGCTAATAGTAAGTTTGAATAAAAACACAGGTCCATCCAGTTACACACACAGGTTTTATGTATTTGTTTGTACAGATGTCGCTAATGTCTCCCATATCACTTTATATTCTGTGAACTGAGAAACTCATCTAAGTGTTTTTTTAAAGTAATCAATGCTTTCTGCTGATACTAATTGTGGAAGGAAATTCCACATTTTTACTGCTCTGACTGTAAAAAACCCCCCAAAAAACCCCTTCCTCAGTTTGAGATTAAATCGCATCTTGTCCAACTTCTAGTTCTCTCCACGTCTTATCTTCAGAGATTTTCGTTTAAACGGTTTATTCCTTATACTGCCCGTTGATGTTTGCAAATTGCAATCATATCCTCTCCTGGGTGTCTCCTTTTCTAAAGAGGACAAGTTAAATTTTTGTACTCTATCTTCAGAACCCAGGTCCTCCATCCACCTTTTATGTATGTTGCTCTTCTCTGAACTCTCTCTAGTGCAAGGACATTGTTCCTCAGGATTGGTGACCAAAACTGAAGCGCACACTCCAAATGAGGCTCAACCAGTGTTTTATCTAGTGGTAGAATTATGTTTTTATCTATTGCAGAAATCCCTCTTTTAGGCTGTGTTCACACCTGAGCGTATTTTTATTTTTTTTTCAGCTAGTTTTTTAGCACGTTTTTCCGTTCAGTGATCACACATGCAAACGCCCCAAAGAAGCTCCTGTACTACTTTGGGCGTAGGGCATTTTTCAGTTCATTCCTACACTCAGCTCTGAGTGAAGTACGCCCATTTTATTCTCTAATTTTTCTTTAAGACTCTTCTAGCACGTTTCACTAATTCTCTTCTAAAGATTTTCTGAGTGTAATAATGTTATTATTTATTTGCCCTTTCTTTTAAAAATTCCTACCAAAAAGTGTAGTATGTTGATTGTGGTTGTTGTATAAACTTAAGATTTTTTTATTTTTTTCCTTATCCAATATTAGGTATGCCAGTGTGTCATGTGAGATACTGACAGCAGACGTATCACAGATTAATGATGCGTTAGGGGAAGACGAGTCTTTACTGAAGCAATTGTATGGCTTTCTGCAGCATGAAGAAGACTTGAATCCTTTGCTAGCCAGCTTTTTCAGCAAAGTGATGGGAATACTTATTAACCGCAAGACAGAACAGGTAATCTAACTTTTCTACAGCTTCACAAGCAAGGCACTGGAAGGACATTGCAAGAGTTAACGTTTTTCCTCGTCCCAGAGCCTGTAAATTGCTGCTTAAGAAAGTAAGAAATATTTTTTTAAAGTGACAAACTCTTGAGTTAAATCTTAATCTTAAAGCATTCAACTATTAACACAAATTTAGCTTATTTGTACATTACTCGGTTGTAGATCCTCAAATTATCACTAAATTCCTGCTGACACTGTCCTTCCTTCTGCAGGGTTGCTACTTTTGTTCTCCATGGGTGTGTTGTCAAGTAGCCACCGCTCCAATCTCACTCCTGTCATGGACTAGAATCTCACGTTTTTAGTTTACGAATTTGTATTGAGATTATATCAAATTATAATGATTGTGCTGCGCTTCATCTGGAACAATACATAAACAAATCTCTATAATAAATATGTGCTTAAATAATACATGCAATCAAAAAAGTGTTCACAATGAATCTTCTTATAAATAATAGTCCTCTGGAAAGTTCAATCATATATTCCATGTTCAAATATACACAAATGTGGAATCACATCACACCATCTGGGGCTTGGAGTTGCAGACACACTCAGGATTATAAAGCTGACAGTAGAAGAAATATATTATTTTATCCGCAGCTGATTCATTTATTTGATGTTGTGAACGGCAGTCCCACGACATTACCTGGTAGACTATACATTGATCAACATTAAGCTGTGTCTGCACTGAGGGGTGGAGCAAAGGTGTTTCATTCTGTGTTTGCACCTGATGAGAGGAAGCATCCCCGGTTGCCTTGGAGACTGTCGGCTTTATAATCCTCTGAGTGTGTCTGCGACTCCAAGCCCCAGATGAAGTCAATTGTGACGTAACGCGTAGGGCAGAGTCTCGCAGACGTGGATTGGAGATTGCATGGTCGGCAGCACAGCTCCCACATGATCTGTCTTTGCACCCAGAGAACACGGTGACAGGGAGGAAGAGTTGTCGAGCATACATTTTATTTGAAGTTTTATGTCTACTTTCCTTATGGGAGTAGTTTAAATAAAGGAGGTTTTTTAATTTTGCTGTTTTACGCTATGGGCTGTTTTTTTATATTTTATTGGAGATGGTCGTGATGACACACTGACGTCATTTTCTGTGCAACGATTGTGGAGAGATGGCTTTTGAATAAGATAGATTGGAGACCCATTAAAGCGATTCTAGACCTATTCTGGTCTATTTATAAGGTCAGCGGCCCACAGAGGGGGAGCATTGGAGATAATTGGAGTTGACGTATGGACTTTGTACAAAGAACTTTCACAGTGGAAGGATAAAGAGTGTGGTGCACTTGGGACAAATCTTGAGCACTATATACATGTGATTCCACATTTGTGTATATTTGAACATGGAATATATGATTGAACTTTCCAGAGTACTATTATTAAGAAGATTCATTGTGAACAATTTTTTGATTGCCTGTATTATTTAAGCACATATTTATTATAGAGATTTGTTTGTATTGTTCTAGATCAGGGGTGGCAAACTCAAATTCATCGGGGGCCGCATCAGCAGTATGGTTACCCTCAAAGGGCCGGTTGTATAGGACTACGCATCTACTCTTTATTATCATAAATAGTTGCCTCTGCATTCAGTTGCTACTGGTTTTATAAACTGCGCGTTTATTCGCGGGGGGCTGGTTATATTTTTTTCTGTTTTTATTTACTTTGTAAAAAATGTTCATTTGTTTTATTATTTTTACTTAATCACCTTTTTTATTTTTTACATTTTTATTTAGTTGCATTTTTAATTAATATTTTTTACTTTTTCTTAACTATTTAAAAAAAAAACTTTTTATTGCTATCACACAGGGAATAATAATCCCCTGTGTAATAGCATTTGGAGGTGACAGGTACTCTTTATTGACCCTGTCACCTCCAACACAGGAGTTCTAGCATAGCACTGTTGCTAGAACTCC